CATGTCCAGCGGTGCTTGCTGCTCGGTGCGCGCGAATGCACGCCGTTCGCGTTTGAGAATGTGGCGCCTTCTGGGAGAAGGCAAGACGCGTGTGGGACGCGACGGTCTAGCGTCTAACCGGCGGCCTGGCCCCGCCCCCGCCCCCGCTCGCGATCCCTGGCTGCCCCCGGCGCGGCGGCACCGTTTTGAACCACTGGCCCGGACACCGCCCCCGGGCCGCGCCCCGCCTTGCCAGACCGCCAGGGGTCAGCGACCAGCTCGAGCCCCTCCGCTAATGAGAACCTCGGCGGCCCCGTCCCCGTCATGGAGTCCGCTAGCGCTAGACTGGGGACTAGAGATGCAGGCAGGGCGGCACACCGGGAAGTGGCCCGCTAATGCGATGCAACGTTCCCATCCCAGCGAGCCTGGCAGCCTGGCAGCCTGCAGGGCGAGAAGGGAAGGCTGAAGGCTCCCGCACGCTGTACTACTACACTGGAGGCGCTGGAGGCGAGATGAGGCAAATCCGGCGGGAATCTTTACCACGTTACCGCGGCCTGCTGATTCCGAACAGCCTTCCCGACGCTCTGTCTCTCTCGCACTCGCGGGGCGTGCCCTACAGGTGCGAGAGAGACAGCCCGCTGGCCGCCTCCGAGCCCCCCGCGCTCGCGGTCGTTTGCTAGGCTTGATTTGTGCGCGATGGCGTTACGGACGGACCCACCAGCATGACTTTTTATCGCTCTGTCTCTCTCGCGCTCACACGGTGTGCCGTGTAGGTGCGAGAGAGGCAGCGCGATGGAAACGACTCTCGGAATCCGTGCGCTGCCTCGCCTCGGCTCGCCGGGTGGCGATAAACGCGAAACGCAAACGCGTGGGGCGGACTGGCCCGGCCGGCCCGGGTGGGGGTGCTTGCTGCTTATTTCTTTTGCGGGCGAAACGACGACGCGAGCCCCGCCTCGAATCAAAGCACGGTGTGGGGCGGGGCGCACCAGTATGGTCATGTGTGTTGGCGGGGTTGTCCGAGGTCTGTCTGGCGGCCCCGACGCGGCCGCGCCGCCGCGCTCGACGTGCAGGGGCGGACGGACTCGACTCCGCGCCCCGCCCCGCCCCGCCACCGCGCCGCCTCCGAGCCGAGAAAGGGGGGACGGGAGGGGGCTGGAGCAGCGCGGCAGCGCCTTACCACATGGCCTTACTGCCGTGCCGCGCCGTGCCGCGCCGTGCCGCTTGCCGCTGGGACCCTGGGCCTGCTGGGCCCCGCTAGGCCCCGCCAGTGCATGTTGGCTCGTGCCGGAGCGTGGACCGCGAGGACCCCCGAGCCGGACGCCCCATCGTCCTCCGCGACCGTCGTTCGTGTGTGTGCGTGTCTGTGTGTTTGTGTGACTACAGTGCCCTTTGGATTACGCCTTTTGGATTACCACCACGGCCCCCCCCCCCGGATTTCGGACCACACGCCCCCTCGTGTACACACTCGCGCACCGCACCCCTTTACGTGTGACAGTTGGACTGGCAGGCCCGGGCCGCGCGGGGAGGCGTTCTGTGACAGCAGACACGCGTTTTGTATTTATTTTGCCCTGGGGATGGGGCGACGATACGTTTTAGGTGTGACTATTAAGTGCTCCTGCTCCTGGCTGTAATGCGCAAGCATGTGTGCACAATCAGTCGCAAAGACCCCAGCGATAATTCAGTCCATGCAGAAGTGACTTTTATGCTGGTTGGATGGTCCAGAGCGCGGTGCATCATCTGTGGTTTAGGACTGCAGGTAGTGTGCACTATAAAACATTGCGCTACGCGGTGCCACTCCTCGCGGTCGGCGCGCAGTCCTTGGTGACAGGGCGCTTCTCCTGCTCGGGGATCAACTAGACGCCGTCATTGGCACTCTCGCGCAGGCCCACGCCGCCGTGCCGTGCCGCGCCGTGCCTGGCCGCCCAGCTGCGCGACGACTCAAGTGGCTCCGATTTGCTGGGCGCGGGCACGGCGGGGCACGGCGGGGCACGGCAGGGCGTCGTGGCGTGTGGCAGGCTGCGGGGCACGCGTCGCTGGGGGGAGGGGGAAGGGGTGTCACTGAGAAAGCGGCAGCGGCGTAGCTGGAGGCTGCATCGCCCTGTCGCTCTCGCCCGCCACGAGTGCGAGGGAGACGGAGTGGAGGCCGCGGCCGCGCCTCGAGGCGAAGAGGACGCCGACGACGGCCGCACCGCGCCGACGACCGTCTTAGCCGGCCGGCCTAATGACGTGCCCGTCGTCCACCACACCGTTAGACTCCGCGTCCCTTCTCCCTGGCCGCGTCGCCGCGTCGTCGCGTCCCAGTGGCCGACCAGCAGGCGCTAGAAGTATTCCAACAGTCTCGTCTCACTCACTTGCATCCGGCCGGAGGGGCGCCCCACGAGCGCGTCACAGTGAACGGAATGGGCGAGCTACACGGCCCTGCGGCCGAGTTTTCGACTTTTTGGAGCCGGGCTGCAATTGCCGAAGGCTCCGAGAGGCACTGGGTGCTTACGAAAGGACGAGAGGCGGCGAGGCGAAGCTCGGCGAGCACAACAGGCCTCGGTGGGAACCTGCCGCCGCTGCACCGCGGCGTCGCGGTCGTGCCGTGGACGGAACACACACGCGCGTGTACGTGGCGGACGCCAACGAGAGTGTGAGAATGGACGGGGCGCCAGTGATGCGGCCTGCTTACGTCAATGGCGGCGTGCTTGGACGGCCCCGGGGCGTGCTCGTCTCGGTGCGAAGTGCGCGCGGTGCTGTCGAACACGGCGAAGGTTGTCGAGTAGCCGGTGGCCGCCGTGGCCCTCTGCGCTCTGGTGAGAAAGCCGCGGCCCGGACTCCGCTCCAGTGCAGGTGCCCTTGGCCGCGGGGCTGCGAGGTGCGGGGCGCGGGGCGGGGCGCGGGGCTGTGGGCGCGAGAGTCCCTGCATGGGAAAGCACCAAGCACTCCGCGGCCTTGCCCGTGGCGGCCTGGGGCCTGGGGCCTAGGCCTGGGGCCGGAGAAAGGTGGCCGGCCTGCTCTCTGTCTCTCTCGCACCCGACCGGCACGCACCGCGAGTGCGAGAGAGACAGCCAGAGCGACGAAAGCGCTGACGGGCTGGCGCGTTCGTCGGCGTCCTCGCGGGAGATCGCCCTATCGCCGTGCGAGTCGTCGCGACGCGCACGTCCTTAAAAAAGAGGAGAGACGCGAGCGGCAAAAGTGACAGTGCGCGGTGTAGCGTGCAGCCTGGCGTCACGTCAAGCGGTGACGTCACCGCAGTGTGCAGTGTACTTGCAGTTGCAGTCAGGAGCAAACAAGGAGCCGGGTAGCGGCAGTTCCAGTTTGTGTGATAATTACTCAACGAGCGACGTGGACGTCGCTTTTATAGTCGCCGTGCCCCCGTTTCCTTCCGTCAAGTGTAATGGCCCCCTCGACCTGCTGCGCGGCGTGCGCGCCCGAGTGCCCGGCCATAACGATCTCACGCGGCGGTGTGCGTGTGTGTGTGCGTGTGGTCCGAAATCCCGGCGGCGGCGGCGCCTTCACGCTCCGCGTTGTTGGCGCTGGATTACCCCCGTCGTCCGCCCCCCTCCCCTTTTGCAGCGCCATGTGAAGTGTGAAGCGGAGTCCAGCCTGGTGCCCAGCCTGATGCAGCGCCAGCGCCTCTAGACAGCCGCCGTCATGTGCAGCGTGGTGCAGCAGAGGAGGGTCTGGTAAGCAAGCACGCGTGGCGGCGAGGCGCGAGGCCGCCCTCGCCATCGCCACCGTCCAGGCCGTGAACGTGAACCAGACGGGAACAGCAAGTTTCATTTTGGAAACCGTCTCGTCGGCTCGTTGGTTTTCACCCAGCCGGGAAGGCGGGTGGACTCCGTCGCTGGGCGGCCCCGCCGACAGCCCCTGGCTTCCTCCGCGGCGGAAATAAGCAAATGGTGTACTCCGTGTACTCTGTGGTCACGGCCGCGCCGCGGTCCGCGGTCCAAGGTGTGGCGTACGGTCCTGCGGGCCCTCTTGCACACACCTCGCGCCCCGCCCCGCCCCGCCGCGCCCCGCCCCGCCCCGCCCCGCCCCGCCGCGCATCCCGTTGCTCGGGATGGCACGCCAGCACGCCAGTGCGTTGACCTGCCGGTGCGCCGCCGCGCCCCGCCCCGCCCCGCCGCGCCGTGGTTCGGTACCGGTTGCGGTCATATCTAGCCGCGGGGCGGGGCGGGCGGTGTCACCGCGCGGCGCCGCGGCACGGAGGGCGGGACGCATCGACAGGTCCGGCGGACCGACGCGCTGGTTCCGCTCTCCGCGCATCCGGCGGGCCGGGCCTCTGGCCCTCTGGGGCGTCGGCGACCAACGGCCGTGTGGCCTGCGGAAAAACATGGACGAGATCCGCCTGTTTTCCTGAACCCGGTTGAGAGTTGATGTTGTCTCTGGGCCAACCGATCAGAAAACTCATGTGTCAGTCAGTCAATGATGCGGTGTCTGGCTGCGATACTCGGGCGAGGACGTCATTCCGAGCGAGCCTGGAGGGCCTGGAGGTCTGGAGGGACATGGGAGCGGGCCGAGGCGCGCACTCGCACACTCTCACTCTCACTCCGCCCACGGCCGCGTGCCGCGTGCCGCCTAGTTGTACGTAGTTGCTACTGGAAGAAGTGTCCCGGGCGGTGAGAGAGAGGCTAGGCCGGCCGCCAAAGACGATTTTGCAGCGGCGTGTCGGCCAGAGGCCATGCAGGCGGGGCACACGGCGGGGCCAGCGGCCGGACTCCAGCAGGACTTTCTCTGCTCCAGTCAGCTGAGCCGCGGCCGGGGCCGGGCCCGGGGCTGGCAACACAGCAGGTTGGCGTCGGCCAAGAGGCGTCTGGAGACAGCGCGGGGCAGCGCGGCAGGGCGCTGACCTGGCGACGTGCTGGGGACTTGGGACCTGGGGACCGCGTCCTGCATGGCGTCAGCCCGACAGCGTCCTGTAGCGTGTCCTTCCAGTCCCCCGAGTACACAGTGGACGCGAGGTTGAGGCGGGTCAGCGAGGCCCTGCGTCCTGACGGTCCTGACGGCGCTGACGGCATTGTTTTTGACTGTTGCAGGACCGGCGCTGCGGTACCCGCGGATGGCCGAGGCCCCGTCCGGGACGGCCGGGGGGGTGGGGAGCCCCGCGCGGACCTTGCACCTGCTCGCCGGGCCGTGTCCGAGGCCGGGCCGGGCGCGTCCGTGAAGCTGGCCATGGTGCAGGCCGCCGCGACGCCAGCCCAATCCGCCGCGCACACCGACGCACACCCCGACGCCAAGGCCGTGAGCGCCACGCCGAGCCCCAGCCCGAGCCAAGGCTGTGGCCAGGGCTGTGGCCAAGGCCCCCAAGGCCCCGCCGAGCAAGCGGAGCAAGCCGAACCCAACAACAACGACCTCGTCTCCACCGCCGAGCTGGCGCTACTCGCCAAGCTGGAGGAGGCAAACCGGTACGTATGCACATGTCGTGGCCGAGGCCGCCGCCGCGCCGCCACCGTCGCCGTCCTCAGGGCAGCGCCATTCCCTTCCCTTACCTGCCCGGCTGGGCCCTGCAGCCCTAGGCTCTAGCCAGCCCTCTGGCAGTCGGCCGCCAGCCTGAGACGCAGAGACACTGCCCGGCCCGGCCCACGCCCCCTCGGGGAAGCTCCCAAAGTACCCGCCGGCCGTCTGGCGGTGCTGCCGCGCTGTCGCGCTGCCCTTCGACCTGGAAATGCCGGTGTCCGCTACCGCCTCCTTCCGCACCCGAGGCCAAGCCGGCCAAGCCGGCCAAGCCGGCCAGGCCCGCGACATGGCCGCCTCCTCGGCTTCGGTTTCGGTTTCGGCGGGAAGGGTGAAACTGGAGCAGTCTGCCCGGCGGCTGCTCGGCCTCGGCCGCCTCGGCCCTCTGAGCCTGAACCGGGGCTGGGAGCTGAAGCGGCGCGGGGCGGGCAAGGACAAGGACAAGGACGGGGCGGCGGGGAATGAGGGGTAGGCCCGGGTTCGAATCCCAGTGAGACGAACGAGTTTCTTTGGTCTGATTTGTCGTTTCTTCTGCTACAGGCTCATCGAAGCCGATGCCAAATCCTTGAACTCCTTGTCTGGAACCAGTGGACATTCCCGCAAGAGTTCGGACACCTCACAAATATCCCTAACATCTGGTACGTATTTTAATTCCCTTTTCTCTTGACGTTTTCTTTATGTGATTAAAACCAAATGCACCTTGTGAGCGGACTGTATTTGCTTCTCACAGATAAGAAAATTCAGATGCTATCAGTCTTATCTCTTATCTTATGTGGAAGGGGGACTTTACCGGGTCTATTTATGCCAACCTGTCCGTCATTGCAGTTTGCCTTGTGATTGTTCTATCTAGATCCAATGATCAGATTGAATTCTTTTCCAGGCACAAGCTCAAGTCAAGACAGAACTGAAGATGCTGAAGAAGATGCATGGACTATCTGGGGGCGGGTTGTCAGTGACTGGGACAATTTCTTCAAAAAGAAAAACCAGTATGTCCGGGTAAGCTTCTCTTTTAATGCTGGATGTTCCAGACCATTATTTAAGTGTTATGAAGTGTCATGGAAGCAACTGAAATTTTGATGTTCACAGGATCTTGTCCGTAAGGGCATCCCAAACAAACTGCGAGGCACTGTCTGGCAAAGGCTATGCAGTGCGCAGGAGTCTCCTATCACCAAACAATATGCAGAGTATATCAAGGCAACATCGGCTTGTGAAAAGGTTAGCAGTTGTTATTCTCTCTACTAGCAAAGTTCTCATTTATTTTATTACCCAGTTATTTAATTTATTCCTGTATCTGCCATTAGGTGATCCGACGAGACATTGCCAGGACATATCCTGAGCATGAGTTTTTTAAGGAGAAGGATGGCTTGGGCCAGGAGAGTCTATTCAACGTCATGAAGGCATATTCTTTGCATGACCGTGAAGTGGGTTACTGCCAGGGCTCAGGATTCATAGTTGGCCTCCTACTCATGCATGTAAGTGTGCCATAATTGTGCAGATTTAAAAAAAAAATATTTGAAAGGTCTTTGTGACTTTGTACTGATTTTTTTTCTCTTGATTTTTTAAACAGATGCCTGAGGAAGAAACATTTGCTGTTCTAGTGAAACTAATGCAGGATTATCGCTTGAGAGAAATGTTCAAGCCCACCATGGCAGAACTAGGACTTTACATGTACCAACTGGAAAATTTAGTTCAGGAGCATCTTCAAGACCTCCACATTCACTTTTTATCTCAAAGTTTCCATACCAGCATGTATGCAAGTAGCTGGTTTTTAACTCTTTTCACGACTGCTCTGCCTCTTCCAGTTGCATGCAGGTATACATCAATTATTTAATCAGTTCATTTTTGTCTTAAAAGTAGAAGCTCTGTCAAAATAATGTCCTTTTTTGCCAGGATAATGGATGTATTTTTATTGGAAGGAATGGAAATTATATTTAAAGTGGCCTTAGCTCTTCTTACAATTGCAAAAGACAACATACTCAGCTTGGATATGGAGGGCATGCTCAAGGTGAATGACCAATACAGCTGTGTTTTATGTGTCCTGCCTCTCTTTTTGCACTTTTTTTATTCAATGAAAACTCTTTTTTTTTTTTTATAGTATTTCCAAAAGGACCTACCACCTCGTGCTGAGGAGGACCCTGATGGTCTTATGAACATGGCATACAACATTAAGCTCAATTCGAAGAAAATGAAAAAGTTGGAAAAGGAGTACACTGCGCTGAAAACCAAGGAGCAAGAGGAAATGGTGGAATTAAAGGTACATTAAATCTGCCTTACTTTATTTTAAAAACATTGTTAAAAATAAACTTGGTTTTATTCTAAAATATGACTCACCAATTTCAGCGACTTCGCAATGAGAACCGACTGCTTCGTCAACGAGTTGAACTTCTTGAAGCAGAATCCAGTGAGTTGGCTGATAGATTGGTACGAGGACAAGTGTCTCGTGCAGAAGAAGAGGAAACAACATTTGTTGTCCAAAGAGAATTGGCTGCCCTTCGCCACACTCATTTAGAAACCTCTCATAAACTAGAAATAGCACAAGAAGAACTGAGCAAGCTTTCAATGATTATGGAAGAGACAGTAAGTGTCCTGCTTCCCATTTAACTTTGAATCTCATCTAACATGTTGCACATAAAAATTGAGTTTAATTGGAGCACTAATTTGCTATGACCTTTCTCAGCACAATTCAGCACAATCCTCAATGGATGAAATCTCATTGAAAAAAGAGATGCTTACTCAGAAGGAAGAAATGGTTGAGTGCCTCCAAGAACAGCTTGTCAAAGTTCGACTCCGAGAAGCAGAAAATGAAGCAATCATTAGGGATCTGAGGTCACGTATCCAAGAACTAGAGGAGGTGTGTAACTTAAATTTCATGTGTGCTATGTAAATTTTGTACTCTTAAAAAAAAGTCCATAAACCCTTAACCTGTTTTAATTGCCAGGATAAAAAGACGTTGCGAGAATCAACAGTAGACAATTCAGTAGCACATTTGCAAGAAGAGCTCATTGCAGTCAAGCTACGAGAAGCTGAAGCCAACCTCTCTCTGAAAGATCTTCGCCAACGTGTGTCAGAACTGAGTTCACAATGGCAGAGGCATCTCCAGGTAAAAGCTTTTACCCATGTTCTGTCACTTCAGATTGTTTTCTTTTCCACTGCCCTAATGCAATACCTTGTATTACAGGAGCATCGTGTTGAGGCCAATCCACCTCCAGATTCTACTCCTAAAAAGCTTTTGTTCTGGGACAATCGCAGTGCCGATACTCAACGACTAGAAGAGGAGCTCATGACTACACGAATCCGAGAAATGGATACTCTTACAGAGGTCAAGGAGCTCAGACTGAAGGTGATGGAACTAGAAACACAAGTACAAGTCAGCACCAACCAGCTTCGTCGCCAAGATGCTGAAAACAAGCAGTTACGGGAGGACCTTGAGACATGTGCCACCCGTGAGCGAGAGGCAGCTAGGGAGCTCAGGGACCAACAGCATCGCTATGCTGATTTGGAATCCAAGGTAAATTCACCTCAGATCACTGCTCTTTCCGGATTAATGTAAAATCTTTACACATCATATTGTTTTACTTACAGATGAAGGATGAAACAATGATGGCTAGAATAAGGGATGCTGAACATGCTCAGGCTGTGGCTGAGCTGACACAAAAGATCTCCAGATTAGAAATGAAGGTAATGAATAATCAGTTGAATGAAAATGTGTGATTTGATGTGTGGAATCAAAAACAAAAATTCATATAAAAATTTGTTGATTTTGGCAGAATGAAGAGATGGTAGCAGAGGGTGAGTTACGCAGCAACCTTGATGACAGTGACAGGGTACGGGAGCTTCAGGACAAAGTTGCAGAACTTAAAGCAGAGGTGAGTTTCATTATGGTTTAGTGAAAACCCAACTTTAATGGGAAATATTCCCTGAAAAATGTTCATTCAAACTTAGTTTAAGATTAAGTTTATTATGTCTTGGGTGATAAAAATTTAACAAGATCTTTTCATGAATTATTTAACTAGTACTTTACACTATCACTATGTTGTTCAGTACTTTGCCAATCTACAAACACCAACGAGTCCATGTGAACCCTGGAAGTGGCCGGAGTAAGTGCCATGCTGTGATGTCTCAGAGCAAAAGCCGACTTTGCTATCTTGTAGCATTGTGCATGGCCTTTTGGTTCTCCTCTAATTTCATGCCAAGTTATGACTTTCCTCTCTTTTTCCCACCTTTTGTAGGCGCTGTCTTGAAAGTAAAAACCTCTTTCTCATTTGTGTGTTATGCATTGTGGTTAATAAAAATTTGGTAACAACTCTGACTTATGAAAAAAGAGAACAAATGGAAACAACTTGTAGCATTGCGTAATTTAGGTAGTTTACTTTGCCTAATAAGTTTCAACGTCATATATAATGCGTGAGAAAGTATCTCTGATAGGACTGCAACCAGATAATATTTGAAAAGCTTCACAAATTTTGGCATGGCTTATTTACATTGTGACCAACCTTTGTTGCCTGCAGATATCACACTAACAGGTGCTAAACAAAACTACATGTGTGAAAAACTACAAGTATACTTTAGGGTATCAATAAAATCATTTCAATGTACTTTTGCATGTTTTGTACTCTACTAACATTTCATTTCTGTAAAAGTGGTCAATTTTCCCTCAGTGTCAACTATGTTTTCTTAATCTGAAGGGGGATTAAGAGAAGTACTTATTTCAAAAATCTGTGCAATGAGTGCTGTTTATCTCAAGGCCTCCTTTATTGGTGTAAGATAATACCATTCCATTTTTATGGTTTTGAGATGCAAATTTGTCATCTCAACTGGTTTTCCCTCTTGATGCATGTTATATTGACTACAGTATTTTCATGTTTCTCATATTGACTGCAGTATCTGTCTGTTATTTTGTTTATTTAAAATCTCGTAGGAATTGTCCTTCATTGTAGTGTAGGTAGTACTCTGTGTGAGGCATGTAGTAGCAGTTTCTGTGAAACGGTATTCTTTTGGCATTCAGTCCCCTATTGGGTTCGTGTTCGTGTAGAGTTGTTTATCGTTCATCTTTTGTCTCTTTGAGAAAATTAACATAAAAATAATTTGTTTGCAGATCATGAGACTGGAGTCATGGAAACGGCGTTGGACATCTAGTGGGGAGGCTGTTCGCCAACCTGCCTCAAGAACTGTGTCTGTTGATACAGAGAGTGAACATGACGAACCAGCTGATCTCCAGATTAAGTTTGGAAATAGTGACGCTTCAAGTCCAGAAGTATAAATGTGTAGACTGTATGTACTCTCCCAGTGCTGTGTGTAAGATTTTTAGTTAACTTTCCATTAGTAGTTACAGGATGTGATTTTTATTAGTTGTGATTGTGATAATGATTTTGCGGATGCGTTCTCAAGCATACGTATTTAAATACTTCACCTTTAGAGATTAATGGCCTCTGATATAGTCCGTATTTTTGATTCAACCATGTTGATGGGTTAGGTTCTCATAAGTACGATGATTGTCCAGAGCCTGAATACAAGGATATGAATACAATTAATGTTCATTTGGGAAGGGAGGGAAGGGATATGACACTCTGTATTACTGTGAAAATCGTCAAAAAGCTATTTCCTCACTTCAACCACATTATTTTTCTAGAGTGAAATAGTCTTTGGCTCTACTTTTCTTTCAAATTTAAGAAAAAGTATGCAATATTAATTTTATTCATTCTGTTGAACTGTACCCAGTATGTCAATATTGAGTCTATCACTTAAAGTTTGGTAAACGCACAAAATGCATTGACTGCTACTATTGCAGTATTTACAAGCTTCAATGTCAAAAAGGATTATGCAGAGTTAAGACAATGCACCTCACAATGAGTACGAGTAAGATATCTTATGATCATTCCCATTTATGAAATAATGAATTTTGTACTACAGGTGTTAAGCAAGGGGCTCAATGAAATTAATATGACAGGTTTTAATACTTCCATGTTTGTGATTTTATAATTAGTCTAAAGGTATCAAGTACCTCATAACATTTTTGTGATTTCATTGGTTTCTTTTCAAAGTAACAGTGTTACATAAGAAACTCTTGTTTGATTTTTTGTTTAAATCATGGATATAAAGAATATGTCGGGGCTTGTAAGAAAGTTACCTTGGCATATTGTTGTATGATAACTTCTTGTAATGGCTGAGTTCAGTGAACATAATTCATATCACTTGTTTTGGAGATGTCAATTAAAACTAGAATATTGTTAGGTAAGAGGAATGAGGTTGTCTCTGAGCAGCTTACATTTTAATTCTCTATAAGAAAAAAAAAACAAATCAGAAATTTCAACATTACGTTCTGAACATCTGCAGTTTTTAATCTTGCAGTATTTTCCTTTTCAATTTTGTTGTTGTTGACAAAAACTTAAGCCTTGTTTAAATTTCTGTTCCTTGTTTCAATGTTCTGCAACCTCTGGATTCAGCCATGATTGTATTAGACTTTGTTGAATAGCCTACAATTTGTATAGAAGATTTGTTTTCTTTCATAGCCTGATCCGTACTTTTTATCTCACTGGTTTGATAGAACTTTGTACTTGGAGAACTATTGATGAAACTAGAGAATGGCCCCAGTCAGTTTGTTTCTGTATTTGTCGCTTGGCAGACATTTGAAATTAATTTTCTATTTGCCAAAACTTTTAAAATGAGTCTTTGTTTGTTTTACGTTTTAATTTTGATCTGTTGTTTGTTTATTTTACAGTTTATCTGTTTTATTATTTATGTCTCTGATTGCCTTTATAATTTATCAGGCCAGAATGGAATTGTGCAAATGCAGTGCTAGCTTCACTGCTATGTTTTAATTAATGAACTAATGGCTCAAAGAGCACTGATATTTTTAATGATATGTGTCTCCCTGAGATTATTCTTAATCATACCTTGGAACATCCTCTTATTCTTTTATGTGGCATGTCTGATACAATAGAAAGAATTCATATCCTCATTCGGAAATAGATTGTTATGGTTTCATCTTCTTGTAGTTTCTGTTTATGTACCTTGAGATGTAAAATGAATTTTATACAGAATAAGGTAGTCTTTGTACCAAAAATTTTAAAAAATGTTTGGTCTCATTTATGGTAAAAGTGTTACAGGTGCAACCTTGTCTTTGTCTTGCATGGACATGTCTAAATTATTAAATGAGCTGTCAATTTCCAAATCGTGTCTTTTGTGTTTATTCTCCTGACTCCTTCTCAAGCGGAAATCCGTGGTGCAGAGCAGCCCACGCCTCAAACGCCCGTAGCTTCGCTACATGTGTGGACAGACACGGCACTAGAGAAAATGCCTATCAATTCTTGTGCATTTTGACCAAAGATGACAGTAAGGCAGGCAGCGCCGCAAAGGTACACAACCGTTGCGCACTCAACTTTTTAAAAACACAACTAACTTCAAGCGATGGCAGAATTATTTATTAACATAAATACACAGATTGAAATAAATATTAAATATAATTACACTAATTAAATGAGGGAGATAGCACCGTAGGATAGTTCTCCAAATCGCCGCAAAACGGCAGTTCAAAACTTTTTTGAAACTTTTATTAGTAATCGAGGCGCCTATTTGGACTGCTCAGTCTAGCGTGTACGGGTCCAGGTCACTCCTTGTTCTGGCCCTGCTTCATGGCGCCGACGTACTTGGCGAACACGGTGATGAGGTGCATCTGGTGGCGGCCCACCTCGGGGATGTACGAGGCGGGCAGGTCGAAGCCGTGGCCGTTGCCGCCCGGCAGCTCGATGGTGTAGGACAGCGGGATGCCCGCCACACCCTTCGCCCAGTCGTCGCTACCCCCCGCCGCCGCGTCTGCAACGCACAATGCAACGCAAGGCCGTCAATACTCCACGACCGCAAACACGCACCAACCAGTGGTAAACCGACTGGAGGGAAACTTACAGAGCACATTCGTTGAGCTGCCAATGGTGTAGGGTTCACTTCCAGCGGCAACCATCGCAGCGTTGGCCTTTTTCGCCAAAGCATCCTAGGAGAAGACAGAATGCTTAATTCTATAGTCACTGTCGCTACAGTCGTAAAGTATTGCCAAAACGACGCTTTACTTACAAGGGTCTTCCAGTCACTGGGGAGTGTGTTGGTGTAGCCCCAAGGATACAGCAGGAACTGTGGACAAGGGGGGTGGAATTAAGATCATAAATCTGAGGTGAAAAAATGAGGATGAGTCCAGCGGCTTTCCACTCACATTGCCGTAGCTGTGGTACGTGAGGTACATCTTAAGCTGCTCCTTGTTGGCGAGCAGGTAGTCCCGGACCGCGCGGGACTCGGGCTCGGAGAAGGGCTTGCTGCCCGCGTAGGTGAAGGAGCAGGACGACCAGCTGGCGCCCACCTCTGTGGAGGACACGAAGAGAATGAGCATGGCGGATGCCGCGATAGCAATGGGACTTGAAAGGACACGGTCCTCCTCTCACCTCGCCAATGGAAGTCGAAGTTCCTGTTGGCGTCGGCGCCGGCGCAGCCCAGGCCCCACCACGTCTTGGAGCGCGTCTTCCTCCACAGGCGATCCTGCAGCACAACAAGCACACGGTCCTACATCCCGCTCCCGCCGCGCGCGCCTCGCGGTCGCTGGCCCGCACTCACCGTGGTGTGGCAGTACTCGTAGCCGTCGGGGTTCATGAGCGGCAGGATGTGCCAGTCGACGTCGTTGGTGAGCTTGGCGGTGTGCGTGGCGTTCTCCACGAGCTGGTGGATGATGTAGAGCGCGGTGGCGGGCGCGATCCACTCCCGCGCGTGGATGCCCGCGTCGATGAAGATGCCGGGCTTGGCCTTGCCCTTGCGGTTCTTCTTCTTGGCGCGGCCCTCCCGGTCCTGCTCCTGCTTGTCCTGCTTGTCCTTGTCCTCGACGTCGGTGGGGTCGATGTCACCGCCGTCGTCGCCCAGCGTCTTGGACGACGAGATGGTGATGACGCGGAGGTCGCGGCCCTCGCTGGACTTGCCGATGGTCTTGACGGTCACCATCTTGGGGAATCGCTTGGCCAGGTCGTCCAGGAACTCATTGACCTACAGAAGCGGATAGCAACACACTGAGCGATCTGTCGATGAGCGGAAGATCGAGGACTCGCGCGTATTTTGAGCACAGACCTCTTTGTAGCGCAGGTACCGCGGGCTGTCGGAAGTCCCCGGCGCCGACCTGGAGGACACGCCGGGCTGCCCGGTCTTCTTCTCGGCAGGAGACAGCGCCCTGCGTCACCAATTCACCCCAATTATTTTTCACCCTCCTTTTCATCTTCGGTGAGGCCTGCACTCCTTACCTGCCGACGTCGGAGATGAGCACCTTCCAGTCCAGCTGGTGCTCCTCCAGGGCCTTCCGCACGAGGTCGGCGGACCGCGGGTTCACCATGATGTCCCACGGGGTGTTGACTTCACGCGACTTGCTCCAGACGTCCAGGTCGCCGGTCTGGAGGAGCTCGTCCAGGGCGGAGAGCTGCCTCTGGTCGGCGGGCACCACGCGGAACACCTTGTGGCTGCGGGCATGTAACGGTCACAACTTTGACTTGTTTTATTTCGTCGGCCAGAGAAAGTGACATGTATGACGACACCACACTGGGGACTAGGGCGGAGGGAATCCCGCCGGGAAGGGCCTAGCTTAGCCCAACCGGGCGGGGCGGGCCGGCACGGCGGTACCGATCTCGGCTTTTGCTCCACTTTCCCTAATCTGGTGGGTCGCGGCGCGGTCGCCTCACGGCCCTCGCCGCCCTCGCGGACACTCTGGCCGGGGCGTGGCGCCACGGTGAGGCTCGGGCCGCCACTTCGCCCCTTTCTGTGTCGCGGTCACAGTGACGTCACCGGCCGTCGTCCGGGGGACGTCGTCGTGGACGCGGCGGCCAGGAAGCGCGTGAGAGATGCGCATTGCGCTGCAGCTTGCATCGCGCGCACCGAGGTCGCTGGGTACACACTACTCATGCTCGGCATGCAATAATGGAGCGCTGGTTCACATTGCTCTTCCACTAAAAAACGGTAATGAGCGTTTTGCGTTCCCCCGACGATCACCCACATTAAAAAATGTCTGCGCGTCGTGTTTACGTCGGTGCCATTGGCCGTGGCCGTGTCGTGCGCGCCGCCAGTCCGGCTCGGACAATGGTCCAGCTCCGTCGCCGTCCTCGGGGGTGACCGTCAACCGGGAGGCCGAAGACCTGAGCAAGTCGCGACTCTGGCACATGCAGAGCAGGTCACCTAGTCAGCCGACTAGGGCAGAGCACCGCGCCGAAGGCCCACAGCACCCTCGCCGCGAGGCAGGCCTTGCATTGCGACCACCCCTATGGCCACTCACTTGTCGTAGGTGACGATGTCCCCCAGCACGTCCAGCGCGGCGGCGGCGGCGACCGGCACGGCGACCTCCAGCACGGCGGCCAGGGCCAGGCCCAGCACCGCCAGCTCCAGGGCCTTGGCGACGGCCCCCGGGCACCCGTAGCGTGACATGGCCGCGGTCGGACTGGCTGACTCCGTGCCGGCGATGGTGATGGTAGCGTGCCCCCCTGCCCCTGCCCCGGCACTGCGCCCGCCGCGGGGCCCGCACCTCTTATACCGGCACGGCACGGGCCATGGGCAGCCATGGGCCCCGATCCGATGGGCCGGGCAGGGCCGGGCAGGGCCGCGGGGGAGGGGGAGGCGATTTTGGTTACTTTCGGTCCCCGTCAGTACAGCACTGGCGCGGTGCTGCTCTGAAGCTCGGTTTGCATCGTTTATTCAATACATTGGTACGTAGCCGTACGGCTACTGCTCGCGGCGAGAAGGTTCACGGAGGTACAATTTTTCCTAGTGAGCCCCCTCGCCTCGCGGCGTCAACGCCATAGATGTATAGATAGATAGCCAACCAACAACAACGGAGGACACATCGGTGTATTTCAATGAAAACCTTTTTTTTGTAAAGTGTGGAAATGGGTCCCTGTGATCGGCCCACTCCTGTCGCCACTAGTGTGACAGGGCCTCCTGCGACTGCGGTCGAGCGTCGGGCGCGAGACGCCTCTGTTTCTGACTGTCTTTGTGGAAGCTATGGAAGTGAAATCGGTCTGGCGTGCGGCACGGCGCAAGGCACGGCGCAAGGCACGGGAGGAGGTGGAGACTGGCGCCGACGATTCCTCGTTTTCTTTCCTTTTATTTTCAATTACACGCTATTCAATTGTGGCACTCGTTGGCGGGCACTGCGCACCGCGGCGCACTGCGTACCCGTTGGCTGCCACGAGTGCCTGAAACGAACACAGTGATGCTCAGTCTTTTGGCCCGCGGGCGGGGGGACGGGGTGACGTTGCAGCGACAAAGGGAAGAGGGTCTGTCTTTAAGTAGAATCGGCTCGTTGGGTCAGTCTGGGGTGTCTTCGTTTTCCTTCCTGTCTTTCGGTGGCGCGGCGAGCGGCCTTCGGCGAGGGTGGCGGCTCCGCGTCAGAGGCGGCCGAAGGCCCTGGTGGTGGGCGGGGCCTGCGCGCGGCCCTGTTGCGTCCTCCGGGGGAAGGCGCGCGTCTCCACCGTGAGGTTGGGCCCGTTGACGGCGCGCAGCCGCTTCACCTCGCTCGCGAAGGCGCGCAGCCCCTCGAAGCTCTGGCGCGCCACGGCGTCGATGTAGGACGTGGGCAGCTGGAAGCCGAACTTGTAGCCGGGCAGCTCGATGGTGTAGGACAGCGGGATGCCCGCGAAGCCCTTCGCCCAGTCGTCGCTGCCGCCCGCCGCCGCGTCTGAGGGGCAGAGCGAAAGCGGGAGCAATTAGGGGTTTTTCCAGCATTTCCCTTCGCGATGGTGATGCATAATCGGTTTGAAACGGCACTTAATGAAGGACCCGCCCAGCCGCGCGGACCCATATGGCGAAAGGCGCGGGCAGATAAGGGCGCTAGGGCCGCGCTACGGGGACGAGGCGAGGCGGCCTCGATTCGAACAGTGCAGGCCCGCCACGGCCACGCCCCCATGGCCAGACCGCGCCGCCAGTCACTTACAGAGCGTCTGCGTGGACGACCCGATCGTGTAGGGCTCGCTGCCCGCGCGGACCATGGCTTCGTTGGCTTTCATCGCCACCGATTTCTGCAACAAGACAATGAAAATCGTGTTTAGCTGGAGTGGCGTCGCGCTGCGCCCGCGCCGAACGGTGGCGGCAAGCGCGAGCAGCCAGCCACCAGCGCCCGCCGGGTAGGCAGCCCATTCGACGCGCCGCCATGCCGCCGCTACACCGTCAGCGACATCGTCACTCACCAGCGTCTGCCAGTCTTTGGGATTCTCCGCCGTGTAGCCCCACGGGTACAGGATGAACTGGAACAAAGCGCCGTTCTCACTCCACCATCTTCTGGCAGGCCAATCACTTCAAAGAACAAAGTGGCGTGAGAGAGACACTTACGTTGCCGTAAGAATGATAGCTGATGTACAGCTTGATTTTGAGCCGGTTGTCCCACAGGAAGGTCCGGATGTTCTTGGCTTCGATCTCGGAGAACGCGTTCCGGCCCGCGAACGTCTCGCTGCACGGATTCTTGCTGGCACCGACCTCTGCAAAAAAAAAATGACAATCAGTCCCGCAGCTGTGCTGGAATCACCGGGTGCAGAAAAACGGCAACGAAAAACCGTCGCGAAACTGTGTCAGAGACAGGCATCGTTCACTGTGTGCTTGATAATTACCATTCCAGTGAAAATCGAAGTTTCTGTTGGGGTCCGCGCCGTAGCATCCCGGCATGGAGGTGGTGGAGCGCGTTTTTCGCCACATGCGGTCCTGCGGATTTAAAATAACGCAGTTTTAGGCGCTTGGACAGCAAAGTCAAGTGAATCTTGAGTCCATTCTGGTTCGATGGTTCGAGGTTCGAGGGACACCGTGTCCACCGACCGGCAGCTCACCGTGGTGTGCGTGAACTGGTAGCCGTCGGGGTTCGCCACCACCAGGATGTACCAGTCCAGCTGCTCGCGCATGTCGGCGTGCGCCGTCTCGTTCTCGGCGAGCTGCGACAGGGCGAACAGGGCCGTGGCGGGCGCGATCCACTCCCGCGCGTGGATGCCCGCGTCCACCCAGATGGCCGTGTAGTTGCAGTAGGGGCAGTTGCTGACGTGCACCACGAGCATGCGCCGGCCCTCGAAGGTGCGCCCGATGTCGTGCACCTTGACGCGGTTCGGGTGGTTCTCCGCCACCCGCTTGATGTAGTCCTCGATCTGGAACGAGTTGGTTGTCAGCGCGTCGTCCTCGCCGTCCCCCCGCCGGGGACATTAGCATTCCCCGGAAAACCCGAGCCACCCTCGTCAGAGTCCCTTTGGCGGGCAGCCAAGCTGGCAGCCAGGCCGCCAGCCGCGCCGCCAGCCAGTGACGTCCGCGGCGGCGCGCCGTGCCGCCGAGTCTGGCGGCTGTCTGTCCAGGAGGAACGCTCCCTGCTCTCCAGCTCACTCCCATGGCTCACCTCATCGTAGAGGAAGTACCGCTTGTTGTCGATGTAGGCGTCCGCCGCCACCCTGCCGGCCAGCTGGGCCGCCGCCAGCTCTCTGTCCACCACGCCGTTGTGCCTGCAAAACGGGGAGCTTGGCGTTAGCGGGCGAGCCGTCACTCGTGCAGGTCGTGCGTCTGGTGGCGGTGCAGTGGGTCTTCGTGCGCGTGACGCAGCAAACGCACGCCGGCCTCGCAAGCAGAGTGGTCCGACCGGCCGGCCGCCCTGGCGCGCAGCAGGGCTGGCCCTGGGCCGCGCTGCAAGAGGGTTCGGAACTCGGTACTCGGTGCGAGACTGAGGAGGCAAGTGCTGGAAAAACAGATGAGAGGAGGCAGAGCCAGAGGAGTGCGGCAATGCGGCAAGGAAAACCCCGGCCGGCTGCTGGGGCGTCCGCCATGGCGGCGCGGGCTTCGGGCTTCGGGCTCGCAGCGCCGCACCGCTCGCGTCCCGCCGCTGCGACACGCCGCGCGACATGCCGCGCCCCGCCGAGCGCGTCACGGTGGCGGTCTGGCGGTCACGGCCAGGGTCAGTCGCAGCCCCGCAGCCCCACCGGCCGCCGGGCCGTCCTGGAAGGCGTCCTGGAAGGCGTCCTGGAAGGCGTGAGGGACCTGAACGCGCGACGGCATGCTGCATGCATGCGCCCAGGAAGCGGTGTCTTTGCACGTGTTTGCGGTGTAGCGTCGCATGCGCGCCGTCGTGCTGCAGTGCGGCATGCTGGCGGATACCGTCGTGAGCCCGCCGTCCAGGAGGCCGCTCTGGGCAGCGCGGGGAAGGGCAGCGTCGGCGACCTGGACGTGCTCCGCCGGCTGCGCCGCGCTTCCCTCAGGTCGGCGGCCTCGGCCTCCATGGAGCTGGGAACAGACGGCGCACGGCCACGGCCACGGCGAGCCGCTGCATCAGACCTCGTCCACGGCGTGCTTGTCGCGGCAGAGCGGCAGGCCGGCCGCGCGTCCACGGAACCTGGATCGGGAGCAGCAACACAACGCCACCTTCGGCCGAGCCAACCGCCCACGCCCCACGCCCCACCCACGTCGCGGGGAATTCCCAGTGTGTACTCACTGCTGCAGGTCGCTGTGCAGCACCTCCCACTGCAGGCCCAGGCTGTTCATCTGCTGCAGCACGGCGTCGCGGGCCTCGGGCGACACCATGACGTCGGCGGGGGCGCCGACGCGGGGCGGCGTCCACCAGTCGACGCCGGGCCGGCCGTCCAGGCTGAGGAGGCCCGTCACCTGCTCCTGGGTGGCGGGGCTGACGCGCAGCACCGTGAAGCTGCAACAAGGAACACATTTACCTCAACGTGTTTACATGATTCTCTGTGTGCGTTCCCCAAGTCGTGCCAGCGATCGCAGGAATGAGGAAGGGGTCTGGTCTGGTCGCGTTGAGTCCAATGCGTGCAGCGCGCAATCTCTCTCAACACCAATAAATACGGGGTCTGCCGGATGAACGCCGGCTCGAGGGAGCAGCGGCCAAATGCATGACTAACAAATCGCTTTTCCACACATCAACTGGAACAGACCGTCAGACAAACTCATCCAATCACTTTATTTAGCACGCTCACTTTAAACCGGGTGCTTTAGTTCTTTTCTCTGTGTATTTCTTTTTTACGTTTCCCACGCCAGGATAAGTGCTCTGAGCCAGCGTTGGGCGAGTAGTCGCTATTAACCAGCCGGGCCATCCCCACGACGCCAAGCCGAGCGGCACGGCACGGCACGGCGCTCACGCGGCACGTGACGAGACATAGCAGAGGAGAGGCGACTTGCGTGCCCTGCTGTGAAGCGCCAATCTGGCGGCGTCCTTGGAGCCGTGCGCTATGGGCCGCCTGCGAGGTAGGCAGGCCCGCACTAGATGCGTGCTGAGCGGGCTTGCCTATCCTTCGTCTCGCAGGCGCCTTGCAGATAGACAAGCCCGCCGACCACCCGTGCTGAGCGGGCTTGCCTATCCTTTGTCTCGCAGGCGCCTTGCAGATAGACAAGCCCGCCGACCACCCGTGCTGAGCGGGCTTGCCTATCCTTCGTCTCGCAGGCGCCTTGCAAGGTAGACAAGCCCGCCGAACATCCAAGCTGAGCGGGCTTGCCTATCCTCGGTCTTGCAGGCGCTAGTCAAGAGAAACATTGCGTCTGGACACCGGCACTCGGCAATTTCGCGCCAAATTCAAAACTCGGCGTTGCGCGCGGCGTGGATGCAGACCGTCGCTTCGCCGTCCCTCCAGTCTCACCTCGCCGAGAAGATAAAAAGGAAAGAAGACTGCCTCTTGTTGATAAGCTTGGCGGCAAAACGCTGACAAACCGGTTCTATGCCGTCTCCATAATGTTTTGACGGCTGCTCAATGAAAAGAATACTTTTGGCTGGGGACGTCACGGACCGGTTGCCGGCGAGGAAACCCCACGGGGCACGGCGGCCAGGCCATCTTGAGCGCCTTCCAGCCCACTAGCTGCAGCCCGCGCGTCATCGCGAACCCAGAAAAACAGATCGCGTGACGTCACTCGCGGTCAGTGTTTGAACCCTTGACACGGCCGTGCGTCGCCCTTGCCGGTCTTCGGCGACGCTGGCGACGCCCACACCCAGCGGCGGCACGGCGGCCGGCGCGGCGAGTGCGAACACGTACATCCAACGAGCCGCGTTCGCAGTTCGGACCGCTTCCGGGAGCCCACTGGAAATTAATGTACTTTTCCGTCGCCCGGCGCATCGCGCATCGCGCACGCGCTGTGGAGTCCAGAGTGGCGGAGTGGCGCGGACGGGGCGGACTGACAGATGCACGATAGAGAGGCTGCCGTTACTCCCGAGTGAAAAAGCTGCGTCCGTTTTCTGGCGGATGCGCTTCGCGTGGCTTTCCGGGAGTGGAAACACGTGAACAGGCTCCTGTGTGCTCCGCCTTCTCTGACACTGAGCGGAGCGACCTAGGGGCAGGCGCCAGGCGGAGGCAGCGGATAGTGCCAAGGGGAGGGGTATTTTTCGTGTGTCCAATTCGTAACGAGGTGAGGTCATCGTCTGGGCAACCTTGTTGGCCAGGCGGTCCAGGCCGTGCAGGCCGAGGCTGGGGCACGCCGGGGCGGACTAGGGCTCCAGGGCCGCGCCGAGGACGCCGAGGACGGGGCGCGCCGGAAGAGGCAGCAGGTCGAGCATGACGGCGACGCGGCCGGAGGCATCCCGGACACGTCCCGGACAAGCCCGGGACACGGCGTCGGTGCGGAGCTGTATCGCCAGTGATGCGACAACGACACTGGTGCGCGACGAGAAGGGAAGAAAGCATGACCCGTGCCGGGAGCTCCGGCCGCGAACGGGACCGCGTCGGCCACCCTCGACACTCACTCGGGCACAGGTGTCATCTTATCTGAGCGCCTACTAGAGACCGCGTGCACCCCTCAGGCACGAGGCCATCGCAGACAATCATGTCGAACACGATTCGACCGCGAAAGTCATCGACCTCTCGCCTGGCCGAGAGCTCCAAACAGTGCAGCGGCACAGCAGAAGAAGACTTACTTGGAGTAGGATTTGGCGGGGACGGCCTGGCCATCGACCTGGTGGTGCTGCAGCACCAGCAGCAGCCCGGCGAGCCCAAGCAGTGCTGCGTGCACGACGGCGTGCCTGCGCGCTGCGTCCGTGGGGCCCGCGCCGCCCATGGCCTTGCTGGCCGTACCCATGGCCATGCCTGTCGCCGCCGAGCCGGCACCACCATCTGACGCGACGCGGCGGGCGCGGGCCGGCGGGCCGACCCCACCCCGCACGCTGCCGCGCGACCGGGCCGCCAGGCCGAGCCGCCGTCAGAGGCACCGGCCTGGCCCCACCAGCCCGCCAGCCTCAACGGCGTGGACCCGCCAGCTACGCGCTGCCACAGCTGCCGTGCCTGCCGTGCCATTCCGTCTGGCTGTTCGTCTGACCGGCCTGCAGGGCGCCGCGCCGGCGCGGAGACACCACACTGTACCAGCACCTTTGTCGCCAACAACAGTGTGTGCGCGGTCCACGAGTATTTGCCAGCGACGGCGCGCCGCGCAGGACTTCCCTTTCCTTCTCCACGCACCACTGGAAAAACCAGTGCCGCGGTCATTCGTTGAAAACGCCCTCATTTTTCAGCGGCGCTCTGCTAACGAAATTACGGCGGACGCGAGACCATTAAACTCTCGGCAGGAAATGGCGCGCTTCCCATTCGCAGCTCGCAGTCCGCCAAGCGCGGAGATACTCCGCGGCCCGAATCCCGACAGGGAGTATCGCCGCGCGCCGCGGAGTGGAACTACTCCCTGCGGCGAGAGCTGCTATGCGTCGCGCTAGGAAGCCGTTAAGCGCGGAGTATTGACTCTCGCATTAGTCTGCGTCATTCGCAGAGGAAGGCGTATCGTGCATGAGGACGAGGGCAAAATATTTCCCGCTCAGTATTCATGAAAACCTTATTTCAACGCAGTCGCCACGGGAATATTGCAGGGTGGCGATCCGGTCAGGCGACCGGACGCGTTTCATAGATGAGTTGAGCAAAAGCGTGGCAGAGACACTCTGCGCTGATGAAGCACAGCTTAACGGTATGAAATATACGACAGTTTCTTCTTTTCCGTCGCCACTTTCAAACGTGTTGGCGCTGCTTTCGGCGGTGCGGGCCGAAATAGGCTGGCGGAGTGGGCCGAATCTGTGTTCATCCGCGAGGACCAGAGGGACTATGTTACAATGCTAATCTTATGGGACCGAATTTTGCAATGGTAATTATGAAAAAACTACTCAAAAGTTAGCAGTTTAACCATACAATTCGTAAAAGCTGATTTTTTTCGGAACCCACTGACGTAAGATCCTTTTTTACTGATGAATTTCGTCAAAACCGATGTATTATAATTACGATAAACTTCCGATGTTTCGCGGACATGTCACAGTACCTCAATTATAGTGCTCCACTTCATTCTAGAAACGGTTTAGATGCATCATTTTAGAAAAACAATGCGTCATTTCTTTTAAAATCAGTGAAAACCGGGACATTTATAGGTTATGTTGACCGCGCGGAGGGATACGACTCCGACAGCCTATGCAGAGGTTGGGCGGCGCGACGTAGTGCGACGTTCCCTGCCAAGTGCGACGCAAATATGTACAAACCAAATCGCTGCCAAAAGTCAAAATGACGTCACTTCCTCTGCCTGAAAAGCGCGCGAGTCACGACGGCGTGTTCCAGGAAGTGGTCCTAGGCATTCCCTTCTTTTGGCCTGGGCCCCGAGTGCGGCGTGCCCCACCCCTCCCTCCTCGCGCTTAAATACAAATATCCTGGGATATGTGGGACGAACTAGGCGCTGTGGGCCAAGGGTGGACATCGCGTGGAGGAGGGGGTGGAGGGGGTGCCTCTCGCCTCGGAATAGACCACACGATCGGGCAGCTGCGAGGTCAGGAACTGCGCGCCTCGGCGCCGCGCTACTGTCTCCGTGCCGGTCAAGCCGACGCCGCAGTGCTGTTGTAGTGCGTGATCCCGGTGCGTGTCGCGAGCGCCATGCGTGGCGTGTGACGTGAGTGTCGCGACATGGCCGAGCCCACCGGCCGGCCCCCCGTGGCCGCGGGCACCGCGCGCCCCGGCCCCGGCCGCAACAAGAGCTTCCGCAAGGCGAGGGACGCCGCGGAGGAGACGCAGTACCTGGACATGTCGCTGGAGGACGTGCAGAAGTACTTCTCGCCGGAGACGTGGCGCAAGATGACGAGCATGAACCTGCACTCGATGCCCGCCTCCTCGGTGCAGAAGTACTTCGACCCGGTGGCCTGGGAGAAGCTGCAGCGGCTGGGCTGCCTCCGCGGCCGCCCCTCCACGTCGTCGTCATCCTCGTCATCGGCGTCCTCGGACACGGCGGCGCCGTCCTCCGCCGACAACGTGCTGGCGGCCAAGGGCTGCTTCTCGCCGCGCTCCTGGGACGCGCTGACCCGCCTCAACGTGGTGCCCGTGGCGTCGCCGTCGCCGCGGCCCTCCCGGCTCGGCGAGGACGGCCCTGGTGACGACGAGGACGACGACGGCGGCATCCCCGGCTGCGGCGCGGCCGACTACGCCGAGGACAGCATGTCCCTGTCCAGCGCGGTGCGCCTTGACGGCCTCGAGGGTGAGGGCGGCGGCCGCGGAGGCCCGCCCCGGGCGGCCGTCACGGACAGGCTGCGGCAGTACTTCTCCAGCGACCAGTGGAGCAAGCTGGAGGAGCGCGGCGTGCTCGAGAAGGCCCTGCACAGGCTGAGCAGGGAGACGAGTGTGTAGCGCCAGTGCTATTCATTAATGTATTCATATTAAAAGACTGCTTCTCCAAATAAATTGAGTCAATATTTTG